TTTGGCGCCTTTGTTACTCGACAAAATTTTTTCATGGTTATATGAAGACTAGGTAAAAAAAACTAGTTTGCCTAGAACTACTCTTAAAAATCAAAATTAAAATTCGCCCCCAAAAGGAGAGGGAAACTTAGAAGGTATTGTCATGAAGAAAATATTCTTTCCATTCTACTAGTCTGAATGTAGGATCTTAATTGGCATTATAGCATATGACTGAATAAAAAAAACTGACGTATGTATGCATTGGTTACAAAACAGGAGCTCTGAATTTAAAATAATTAATATGAACGTTACATCCTTGGCATAAGAAAAAACTCGTCCATTCGCATTAACAAAGAACATAGTACCACATGGTTTTAATTAGCATCTCCCTCTGGAAATAAGTTCATTAACTTGATGGTACACCCTGTGATTCTGCCTGTTCAACCCAACACAACTCTACTCCTTCTGAAACACAGTCAAATTAACTTCGAAAACCTGAAACAATCTATGTTAATTTGCTATACTGATCTTCCCCTTTGATATATTCCACAGGAGAAGCTTCGTGTTGCACTCTTCGTTCAGAAAGCTGCACTTCAGTTCATCGATGGTACGTACAGATAACCGTCCTCAAAAAAACAAAACAAAAAAAAAAAACGTTTGCTTTCAATTTTGCTCGAAATTTATCACTCCGATTTGATTTTGTAACAATGGCGATGCTCCGATCCTCCTCAGCCGTCCGCAAGACGGAGCACCCGTTGCCGGAGCTCGCCCGGCAATGCGGCTTCTCCGTCAGCGCCGAGGAGCTCGCCTCCATCGTGCGCGGCCACGACACCAAGAGCCTGAGATTCCACAATGGCGTCGACGGCATCGCCCGGAAGGTGGCCGTGTCCCTCGCCGACGGCGTCAAGTCCGACGACGCCGGCCTCCGCGCCGAGGTCTACGGCGCCAACCAGTACACGGAGAAGCCGCCAAGAACGTTCTGGATGTTTCTGTGGGACGCCAGCCAGGACATGACGCTGTTGCTGCTCGCCTTCTGCGCCGCCGTCTCCGTCGCCATCGGCCTTGCCACCGAGGGGTGGCCGAGCGGCATGTACGACGGCGTCGGCATCATGCTCACCATCCTCCTCGTCGTCATGATCACCGCGGCGAGCGACTACAAGCAGTCGCTGCAGTTCAGGGACCTGGACAAGGAGAAGAAGAAGATCGACGTGCAGGTCACCCGCGACGGCTACCGGCAGAAGGTGTCCATCTACGACATCGTCGTCGGCGACATCGTGCATCTGTCCATCGGCGACCAGGTCCCCGCCGACGGGTTGTTCATTGATGGATACTCGTTCGTCGTCGACGAGTCGAACCTCTCCGGCGAGAGCGAGCCGGTGCACGTGTCGACGGCGAACCGGTTCTTGCTCGGAGGGACCAAGGTGCAGGACGGGTCGGCGAGGATGCTGGTGACGGCGGTGGGGATGCGGACGGAGTGGGGGAACCTGATGGAGACGCTGAGCCAGGGCGGCGAGGACGAGACGCCGCTGCAGGTGAAGCTCAACGGCGTGGCCACCATCATCGGCAAGATCGGGCTGGCGTTCGCGGTGCTCACGTTCACGGTGCTCATGGCGAGGTTCCTGCTCGGCAAGGCGGGCGCGCCGGGCGGGCTGCTGCGGTGGCGGATGGTGGACGCGCTCGCGGTGCTCAACTTCTTCGCCGTCGCCGTCACCATCATCGTCGTGGCCGTGCCGGAGGGGCTCCCGCTCGCCGTCACGCTCAGCCTCGCGTTCGCCATGAAGAAGCTGATGCAGGAGCGCGCGCTCGTGCGCCACCTCTCAGCGTGCGAGACGATGGGGTCGGCGAGCTGCATCTGCACGGACAAGACCGGCACGCTCACCACCAACCACATGGTCGTCGAGAAGATCTGGGCGTCCGGCGCCGCGCAGACGATGAGCAACGCCAAGGGATTCGACCAGCTCACCTCGTCGATGTCCGAGACCTTCGCCAAGGTGCTCCTCGAGGGCGTCTTCCATTGCTCCGGCTCCGAGGTCGTCCGTGGCAAGGACGGCAGGCACACCATCATGGGCACGCCCACCGAGACGGCCATCCTCGAGTTCGGGCTCGCGGTGGAGAAGCGCGCCAGGATCGAGCACACCGGCGCCGGGAAGCTCAAGGTGGAGCCGTTCAACTCGGTGAAGAAGACGATGGCCGTGGTGATCGCGTCCCCGAGCGCCGGCGGCCGCCCCCGCGCGTTCCTCAAGGGCGCCTCCGAGGTCGTCCTGAGCCGGTGCAGCCTCGTCCTCGACGGCACCGGGAACGTCGAGAAGCTCACGGACGCCAAGGCGAAGCGGGTGGCGAGCGCCATCGACGCGTTCGCGTGCGAGGCGCTGCGCACGCTCTGCCTCGCCTACCAGGACGTCGACGGCGGCGGCGGCGACATCCCCGGCGAAGGGTACACGCTCATCGCCGTGTTCGGCATCAAGGACCCGCTCCGCCCCGGCGTCCGGGAGGCCGTGGCGACGTGCCACGCCGCCGGCATCAACGTGCGCATGGTCACCGGCGACAACATCAACACAGCGAAGGCGATCGCCAGGGAGTGCGGCATCCTGACCGACGACGGCATCGCCATCGAAGGGCCCGAGTTCCGGAACAAGGATCCCGACCAGATGAGAGAGATCATACCCAAAATCCAGGCACGTAGCTGATTCTTGAAATCCGAGAGAGCTCTTCTCACCTGAAGAATTTTGCAGCACGGAGAGCTGATCTGAATATTGTAGGTGATGGCGAGGTCGCTGCCGTTGGACAAGCACACGCTGGTGACGAACCTGAGGGGCATGTTCAACGAGGTGGTGGCGGTGACCGGCGACGGCACCAACGACGCGCCGGCGCTGCACGAGGCCGACATCGGCCTCGCCATGGGCATCGCTGGAACAGAGGTTCGTACTACTTACCTCCGTTTCAGGTTATAAGATGTTTTGACTTTGGTCAAAGTCAAATTGCTTTAAGTTTGACTAAGTTTGTAGAAAAAAATATTTTCAATTCAAGACAAATTTATTACAAAAATATATTTAATTATTGATTTAATGAAATTAATTTGGTATTATAAATATTACTATATTTGTCTATAAACTTAGTTAAACTTGAATAGTTAAACTTGAAGTAGTTTGATTTTGATCAAAGTCAAAACGTTTTATAACCTGAAACAGAGAGAGTACTACTTACTGCCCTTTGTTACAAAATTTTAGGTTGGAGTTTGATTGACTTGATGAATGTTTTGGGTTTTTGCTTGTTCATCAGGTTGCCAAGGAGAACGCCGATGTGATCATCATGGACGACAACTTCTCGACCATCATCAACGTTGCCAAATGGGGTCGCTCCGTCTACATCAACATCCAGAAGTTCGTCCAGTTCCAGCTCACCGTCAATGTGGTCGCCCTGATGGTGAACTTCATCTCTGCGTCCTTCACAGGTATTAAGAATTTGAAATTTTTCGTACAAAAAGTTGACAAAATTTCTTCTGGTCATGGTCAGGTATAAGAATTCTCTGGTTCTTGTTCCGATTTATGATGAATTTGTTGGCGATTCAGGGAGTGCGCCGCTGACGATTGTGCAGCTGCTGTGGGTGAACCTGATCATGGACACACTGGGGGCGCTGGCGCTGGCGACAGAGCCGCCGAACGACGCGATGATGAAGAGGCCGCCGGTGGGTCGCGGCGACAACTTCATCACCAAGGTGATGTGGAGGAACATCGTCGGGCAGAGCATCTACCAGCTGGTCGTGCTCGGCGTCCTCCTCCTCAGAGGGAAGAGCCTCCTCCAGATCAATGGCCCTCAAGCTGACAGCCTACTCAACACCTTCGTCTTCAACACCTTTGTCTTCTGCCAGGTAACTATACTTACTAATGCAATGAAATGCATATTGTTCAGCTTAGTTTAATGGGAATGGATTCTCTAATTCCTCGGGGGATGTCCCCTCATATAAATTTTTCAATCAAATTCAATATAAATGGTTGTGAAAAATTCTAAAGAAAAAAATGGCAATGTAGACTACATGATATCTTTTTTTTTTCGCCGGGATGGCAAAGAATGCCGACCAATGTATATTAAGGAAAAAGGGAAAAACTGTACAAAACTACATGACATCTGTCGCTCCACGAAAAATCAAATTCAAACTCGATTTACACATTGCAGGAAAAAAAACAAATCAGGATGTGAATTGAATTAATACCATTCATACATGGCTTTATCTTCTTTATTTCTCGATGCGTGGGTTGAATGTAGGCTCGATATTTTGTGGAGTAGTATATTCATGTTGTATGAATGTTCTCAAATATCTAAAGATTTTTTTAATTATGTAAATGGTGTTTGAACATAAGAGGGGACATCCCTTGAGGGATTAAAAACAGTTCCCCTAGTTTAATCTTCGAGTTCTTTTCATCTTACAAGTTACAATTTCTGTCTATATATGTGCTAGGTTTTCAACGAGGTGAACAGCAGGGAGATGGAGAAGATCAACGTTTTCAGCGGCATCTTCAGCAGCTGGATCTTCTCGGCGGTGGTCGGCGTCACGGCGGGGTTCCAGGTGATCATGGTGGAGCTCCTTGGGACTTTCGCCAACACGGTGCATCTCAGCGGGAAGCTGTGGCTGACGAGCGTGCTGATCGGGTCGGTCGGCTTGGTCATCGGCGCCATCTTGAAGTGCATCCCGGTCGAATCCGGCAGCGACGCTTCTGATCGTCACGACGGATACCGGCCGATCCCCACCGGCCCGAGTGCGGTTTGATTTTTGCAGGCATTTTGATCATCGTTTTCTTCATAAAGAAGGAGATGAGTTTGCATGCAAACTTCGTAGTTTAACTCAGTTTTTTTTTCCTCCCGAACGGAAGACATTCAGTTTTTCACACAAACATCGTAGTTTTAACTCCTCCAAAGAGTAGGTTTTGTCATTGCGTCTTCTTTTTTCCCCTCAGATTTGGTAGTGATAATAAGTTGTCATTGTTTTGATCCAAGGGATAGAATTCAGTTAGACAAAATTGAACTATAACAAGAGCATGTACTTGCCATTTCGTTTTTTTTTTCAATTGAGGGCATGCATGCACCCTTACTTTGTTGGTTTGAGCCTCTCAACTATTCTATTTTGTGCAACCAGGTTCTTTTATGCAGCAAATTCTTGCTGACGTGTTATATCATCTCTTAGATAAGAAATTACACATTCTCCATCTTCACCAAAGAGATTACAAATTCTCCATCTTCACGATGTTCAAGCCGACTTCTCCTCATATTCATGAATTGAGGGTGTGTTTGGATAATGGGAAATGAGAGGTGGGATTGGGATTAGGAATTGAATGAAGGGTTAGGATTAAATGGATGAGGGAGAATGAATGGTTAAGATTTAAAGAGGGGTGGGAAATCATTTCCCTTAGATATTTGCCAAACACTGCCTGAGCTCCAATTTAAAGATTTCTCCATCGTAGCGTAATCCCGAAATGGATTCAGAAAGTTCAGATATATAGTTGAGGGTTTTGGAGTTTTTGACAGCGACAAAATAGGATCGTATACTTTAACTCCACAATAGTCCTTCAGGCCTAGAAAGAAAGAAAAATGGAAATACCATTAATTAGATTAGAAGTAGGGCAAGCGTATTAGGGCTGAGCTACAACTCCTAATTTTTGCTTCAGGAGTTGGGTCTAGAGTGGAATTGTGGAGCTGCCTAAACCCAGCTCCATATCTCTAGTATATTTTGTAAGAGAGCTCCACTCAGCTCCGCTCCTATTTTAGGTGGAGCTGAAACTGTTTGGCTGAGCTACAACTCCAATAGAGGTGGAGCTGGAGTTGAAGCTGTGCCAAACATAGTATTTGCATAATCAAGAGATCCGAAATACGGAGTAAAACTTACTCCATCTCGGCAATTTCGCTTTACACGCCACAAAGGATTTGTGTTCCAAACTCCGTATTGCAAGTCTTTTAGCCCTAGAAAAAAAAAAGATAAAATGAACCAGCAAAGTCAAAAATAAGTAGGATTCAAGTGTTTGCATAAGAAAAGAGGCATGATATCAGAAATAAGACTTACACCAACTCGGCAATTTCGCTTAACACGCCACGAAGGTGTTGTCTCCCTGTAAAAAATCAGCCCCTTATTCCTATAAGCATGAGAAAAGAAACAATTAGCATGCCAGGTAGAATGAAAAGGCAACGAAGGAACATCAATGAAGTAAAGACACTTACCAATATTTACGATAGCAACATGTTAAGATATGGTGAATGAGGCTATACGGCCTAGGTGGAGGTGAATTTCCAATGCTTCCATCAATCAGAGGTGACCAGGTACGACTGCTGAGGTGGTATTGCGTAAAGAACAATTCCGTTGGAGGAGTGTGAAATATATAACCACCAGTATCACCACAGAAAATGGTAGGAAGTGCCTTAGAGGAGACACAGATAGTCCGTGGACCAATGAACAAGGCATGGTCACCAATGCTCGCCACCGGACTAAATCTTCCTGAGGTAAGGTCAGAAATCCTATACACTGAAGTGTGAGTGTAATTTCCAATGTCGTTGTAGGCAAAAGGCAGCAGCATGGTCTGTGAGTCTAATGATGTGGGTCTACTGTCATGGCCAATTATCAGTATCTCCGAGTCGCATTCTGCCAGAAAACAAGGGCCGAACAGCTTGTCCTTAGGAATTGTTGCAACCAGCTTCGGTGCCAGCTCCTTCTCTGGCAAAGGAGAGCCTTCAGCATCCTGATCATTGGGTGGATCAATCTGGAGAATGTCTGAATTGCCGGTTATATCGTGCTTAGCCTTCACCATAAACAGCTTCCCTTGGTATGACAATGTCCTCCAGCAGGGGCGCCCAAAGTAACATTTGGACAGAGTCCATTGCAGGTCGCCGGAGGCGGCGAAAGCTACCCGGTTGAACAGGTGGAAGGCCAGCATGACAGTGATGCTGCCAGTGTCGTTAACACTGACAGAAGCGCAGACATCTCTGAGGAAACCTATCCTGTGCTTCTCTTCGTTGTAATTCCACAGAACGGAGTTTGTGGTGTTACCCATCTGCGGCCGGAGGGTCTCGAGGGGCGGGAGGTCGGCGATGTCGCCGGTGAAGGGGTGGAGGAGGCGGATGGCGGTGTCGTGGTCCCGCTGCAGCAGGAGGAGGCCGTCGACGGAGTCGAGCACCATGTGGTCCTGGAAGAGCAGGAGCTTGGCGCGGGCGAGGGCGCCGGTGGAGAGGTTGAAGAAGCGGACGAACCCGCGGAGCTTGGCGTGGCCGGGGTGGAGGCCGTGGCCCTCGGGGAACATCATCCAGCGGCGCGGGTGGAAGCGCGGGTCGGTGATGCCGCGGCCGCGCGGGCAGGCGGTGGCGGAGCGCCAGGCGGCGCAGACGGCGCGGAGGCGGACGTAGTCGAGGAGGTCGCTGGCGAGCGCCCGCTCCGCGACCAGCCGCAGGAGGTCGGGGTTCAACGACGCCCACGGCGACTCGGGGGGCGCGAGGCGGCGGCGCTTGGCGGTGGCGGCGCACGGAGCCACGGCCAGCTGGGGCGCAGGCCGCTTTGGGCATCTCGTCGTCCTCGGCCGCGACATCCCTCTCCTCCTCGTCGGCGGCGAAAAGATTTTCTCCTTATTTTTTGAATTTTTTTTCCCCAAATCAACTGTCAGATCTGCGAGTGTGAGGCGGCGAGAGTTGTTGGTGATGTGGTCGATGGCCAATCTAGCGCTCAGTTATATCGGCAGGAAACGAGAGTGAATGCCTACTCCTGATCGGAATTGGATTTGCATCCAACGAGTTGATCCGCCAAGCGAACGGATTCGGAGAGGAGAGACGGCTGGTTAAATTGGGAGTTTCATCTCCAAGGAGAGAAACGAAGGCGAGGGGCAAAACAGACATTGCATATCACTGGTCCACACTGGCTACCTCATATAGTAACTCACGTAGGCAAAGTGGCAAAAGATTTTTTTTAAAAAAACTCAGAATTGGATAAATAGTTTAGAAAAAATAATTATTTTGAAGATTGAGACATGTATGTATGAATGAAGTAAAAAGAAAGCTAAAATAAAAGAGTAGGTAGTTGGTTGAAAAGTTTAGAGAGTGATATTTTTTTCGGATCGATCCACTGACGAGGAGCGTTATCCAAAAAACTATCTTTTTTTTAAGAAACACAATACAATACAGACGTATACGTACACAAAGCACACACTAACCCTTAAAAATACAATTTCAATAAAAAAAATTCTCTCATAGTTGTCTAACTAATTTTCTCTAAGTTTTTCGTTAGCTTTATAATATTTTATTCATCCAAATAAGCAATTTTCTTCCGTCTATAATCCGTCCAATCATTCATCAGAGAATCCGTGTGGATCCTATTAAGATGAGAAAAAAAAAAGTCATTTGGCTGTCGACACGATGACACGCTCCTTGGCTCGAACAAATGTTTAGAGCTGATTGCAACTAGCTGGTGCACAGGTTTCTGGGGCGGAGCTATGTGTATCAAGGGGGCGTTAAAAGTGACCAGAGAACCCATCCACTTCGGCAATTACCTGCCACACTAACTCACATGTTTCGAGTTGGGCAAGGCTCTCACTATCATGCAAGAAGCCCAGAACTTGAACTATTCATCCACAATGACACGTAAATGAGTAACCATGTTAATGACATCATCATTCTTCTTCACACAAGAGCTTGGTGTCTACCCACAGAAATAGTCATGCCAAGAAGAGGCTGCAGGGATAAATACTTGCAACAAGCGTTCGCAAATTTGCGAGGAAACATACGAATACGAGTAACTAGAGGAATATAATAAGGATTTATGTACAATAATACGCTTTGTTGCATAGTACCTAATTTATCAAGACTCGCGGACACTTCACACGGTTTTATCCTGAAAAAAGACGATACCTGCAAGATAGAAGCCACGGCCACCAGTTGGGAGTTGAGTTATCAGGCATGGCTTGATGTTCATTCCATTGGAAATGATAACGCTACAATCTGACGAGAAAGAGCGTACCTTTCAAATTCTAGCTTCTGGGTGACAATACCATTAAGCACAAGCTCTGATTCAAACACCTCAAAACCTGCAACGGTGCAACATCAACCAGCGGTTTACGACAAATGGAGTAAGCCCCAGAACTTTATTAGGTACAGGGAGCGTAGCACACACCGTTCTTAATGAATGGCACGCATATTTTGTAGTCTTGTTCACAAGAGATTACAAAAGCTCCCATTAAACTTCTATTCTTCATCTTGGACATTGCGTTTCTCTCCAACACCTGGCAAACCAACAAATGTAATCGTTGTGCAAGCAATTTAAGAAATGGAAATTATGTATCCAAGTATGGGATCCTAACATATTGGCATGTAATGAAGTAGTGTTCTTAACAGAGAAAATGCAATTAAAAACGAACCACAAATCATTTGATAACTTTCATCACACCTTTTAGCTATATCTTGAAACCAAATCAGTAATATTGGCAACAACAAAATTGAATTAAACACATGTCACTAGAAATCTCCATTGTAAAAAACACAGGTCACTAGAAAATGTTCCAGATTGATGGTAATCCACGTTGATCCTACTCGTATTTGTTGTTGCATCACAAACACAATGCCTCCAGATTTTTGTGCACTTTACATAACAATGTGAAGAATTGAAGTCCTTTATGTGCATTAACTTCTAAGCAGCTGGAAAGTTCATACTGTTGCAGAAACAAGTACCATCTAAAATCTGGAGATAGTTGAGATGACAACACAGAATAAATGAATGCAACAAAGGGTAGATTACCAAAGACAAGGAAAGTGCTCCAAAAGAAAATTCAGATTGATTTGAACAGAGGTATATAACAAGCGTATACCTTGCCATGAGCAGTCACTACTAAACTTTTCAAAAGCTCCTTGCTAGGTTTAGCATTTGGTGTGATTAGCACTCTTCTACCCTGGAAATTCAATAAATTTTTAGGTAACATAAACATTTCATATTTTGGCATACTGAAGTTAAAGTATCTCTTGGCATCAAGATAATATAATTGCCAAAAATTGCTAGTATTTGTTCTCATTTTGATTATATTTTTCAAGCTAATAAACTAAAATATCACCTCTAACAAAGGTTTTTTGCAAGCTCGGCTTAGTGAGACAGGCATGCTAAAGCCTAGCTCCTTTTCCTTCTTTATATCCCTCAGAATGTATCTTTTCTCATCAATGAAACTCCTAGCTTCCCTGCAGCATTCAAGCCATGCCGGTGTGACTACAGGTATGCCCGTAGCTATTGCCTCTAGCATGTTCCTTGTGCGCGCAAACTTTTCAGCAACAAAGTGTGTAGCCTCTGAAATAGTTGTTGCCACTGATAATCCAAAATGTATCAAAATCTGCCAATGGCCAAATAGAGTTTTAAGAGGTGAGAACCATTGAGAGACCTTTCATTACTCTGTGTAGTTTGTGCAATTAAGAAATGGATGGTACCTTTGTTTGATCGTTGAGGGTTTCATTGCCCATACTTTGGCTAAGTAGTACACGGACTGTGGACATATGCTTTCTCCTTCGCCTGCTAGATTGCAATACTGGAGATACTTCATTTCTAAAGAGGTTAGCAAGTTCTCTGGAACCTGGTGATTTCAGGACTCTCTTCGGTGTTTCTGATGTACGTGTCCTAGCTTGGGGCCCTGCACCATTTAGCTCTCTCAGCGGTACACTGGGCATCAAACTAGAGTCATGACCCTTCTTCTCAGGTATTGACTGTTTTTCAAGCCCTACAGTAAAAGTTTCTGCAAGTGGATTGAAGTATGAACTACCTGCTGATGCTTCATGATCAGCAAAAGAAGAATGTTGACTCATTCTCAAGCCACTTGTGGTATCTTGATCAGATACGCTTACTGTGTTAGCTGTTGAAAGCTGTTTTACTTCTGTAGTTTTGGCTCTAAGTGCCGTTGGCTTGATAGCTTCAATGAACTCAATTTTTGAGCTTCCCGAGGTAAATATATATGTCCTCCTCCTTTTAGGATGGATTAAAGCATCTGTATCTAGTGAAAGAGGAATATTTGAGTCATTTGTACCAGATCTTGTGATTACTTCTGACACCTCATGATCTATGTCTCTTTGAGTAATCCCACTGCTGATGTTTCTTTTTGCTTTCCCTGCCATCTGTTTCGTATACTTCCTGGTTTGTGATGTGTTTGTATGAGAGACTGAACTTTCACCATTTTCCCTTACTGTATCATCTACCTTGATTTGCTTGTATTCTGTTGCCACTCCTGATCTGTGACGCAAGAAGTTTACCTTTCTCTTTTGAATTGGTGAATGAACTGCACATGTCTTATCAACTTTGGTTCCTTTTGTCATATTTTTAACAACAGAATCTTCAGGACGTTCATTCTCCTTGACATCATAACTGACAGTTGAAGCATTGAACAATGCTTCCATGGCTTCAGCTGCCATCTGAGTATTTGGCCCAATATCATATTCTTGGTATAAATCATCAGTACCACAAAATGGTTCCGTTTTCTTCAGACAATTAGTACCCAAGTCCTCATCAATGCATTCTAGTATGGGCCAAGCCCTGGTACTTGATCCACAGCCACCGTGTTTCACTTGATTATTAGCACGATCTACTGTATTTTCCATGGAAATAATACTGGTTCTGCAATCATCAACAGTGGGGGTATCAACCCAGTCAAAATTTCCAGCCTTTTTTAGTGGGGAACTGCACCTAGCCCTTTTGGCCAGGCATTGAGCTATATCTGAACCTAAAGTAGAAGCTGACTTTGCCCTCGTTGTCTGGTCGATGCTTATTTGCTGATAAGTTTCTATATCATCTTCTACTAGCAGCCTATCCACAATGTCAATAGCGTTGATCTGTGATTCATCACCAGGCTCCTGCGAACTAAGGTAATCCAACTTTGCACATCCGCTTGCAGAAGTCATCATGTGCATGCTGTAATACTGAAATAGACAGAAAACACCTGTTATGAACTTGTAGGCTAACTGTGAATGGTGTTAACAACATGGAGTTGATCGATCATGGCCTAAATGCTGAGTAGACAATACTTGAAACCAAGAGCTGGAATCTTCTCAGACTGAACTGTGTATATGAGAGGAACATATTTTAAGATGCTACAGTTTCTAAATCAAGATACACATACCAAAATATTTATGCACACGGAAGACAGAAGTGTATGATCATAAGTAAAATAAACAACGTTTATGGGCTTGTTTGAGAGCTAGGGGTGAAAAAAAACAGGGAAGAACATCCACAGGAGGGACCTTTTGGGTGTCACGGGATCCCCTTGGGAAATTCCACCCAATTGTTTGGAATAAAAAGAGCCAACAAAAATCCCTGCCTTACAAAAATAAACGGAAAATTAAGAAAAAATTGCAAAATCCAAAATCTTCTTGGCGCGGGTGGTGGTGTGACCAGGCATTGAGCTAGACAGCTAGTGAAGGGAGGGGGCTGCCGCCTAGCTCACCAACAGAGGGGGCAACCGCCGTCGAGCTCATGAATGGAAAGATCTCCAGATGCAGGTAGTGACAGCAGTTGATTAGATGCGGCACCGGCGGTCAGTGGTTGCAAGCTAAACGCGGGCGAGAGCGAGAGAGGCAGCAAGATTTATGGTCGGTTTTTAGTATTACAGTTGATGTGGGGTTCGTACCAACTAGAAAGAGCCAAAAAAAAATGTTGGATTCTGATTCATATCAGACAGTGTATTCGCAGAAGTAATGCATATGCTTATTGCTATTGGAAAAATGGATTTTATGATAAATTTGGTTATCACCCAGTCAAATATGTAACAGACGACTGACGAATACTAGTATATAGCAATTTTTATTTTAGAATAGGAGTATATAGCAATAAACGCAGGCTGTTCTTCTCAATGAACAAGAACACTAAACTCCACTTCACTATTCAAATCCATCTCTCCAAATGATCCATCAGATTATCTACTACTAGCATGCTGTGGCAGCAAATGATCCGTCAAGGGGATCTTATCACAAATTGATCATTGCCGTGCCATTGAACAATAAATATACTGCGAAGAAAGGTGAGAATACATCTACTAGACACAAACGGGTGCGACGAATTCGAGAACGATCGAATCCAACGGGCCTGCCACCGATCGATCGGCGCGTTCAACACTAAGAACCGAAAAAATCGACTCGAGAAACGCGCGATTCGGTGTTACCAAAAGGCATCGCGTGAAAAGTAACTAAAACACGATGATCCGATTAAGGGATGGGAAAATTACCTGAGAAGGGGATGCCACCTTTAGTTTTGGATAGGTGAACGAGGCGCTGGAGAGCTCTAGGGTTTAGCTCCTTCGCTTCGCCATTGATCCGCCATGAACTCCTGGATGGATTGGGGAACGGATGAGAGAGAGAGGTGAGATGAGTCGGCGAGTGCAGTGAGAAAAGGGGGAGAGAAGCACAAGTTCCAAGCCCGCGCGCAGGAGGGAAGTGTGCTGGAGAAGCCAAAACACCCCGCCCTTTTTTTTTCTCTTCTGAGCTGTGTTGCGCGCCTCATTTTGGGAGAAAATAAATTTGATGTGAAAATTTGTTCGGATCGATTATTTCTTAAAGTTGGAATGCTCCTGTAATATTTGTCACTATTTCATCATGGAGAATCAAATTGTTTGCTATAGGAATGATAAGTCTTAAAGAAACATTAAACGCAGCAAAGGAAAAAAAATCACTATTTCATCATGGATAATCAAATTGTTTGCTCTAGGAATGATAAGTCATAAGCAAACATTAAACGAAGCAAAGAAAAGAAAATTCACTAGTAAAACTTTTATAGGCGTCCTTATCGATTATATGCATTCTTATCGATTTAGAAGTCAAAGCTGATAAATGGTACTCCCTCCATTTCATATTATAATTGTAGTAAACTACAATAGAAATAAAAGATAAAATCAACACTAAAATGACGTTTCAAATTCTAGATTTTGGCGATAAACTAATAAAGCAAACGATGGAGGCTGATAAAAATTGTCCTAATTTTTTTATGTTAAAAAAGTGAAGATAGTTTATAGCGCAGAAATCTTGAAACAAACAGCTCTTCCCACGAGAAATGAAAGAAAAAAGAGCTCTTCCCACGAGAAATGAAAGAAAAAAGAAAAGCTATGTTTGAAGTAAACTCATGTGCCATTGCACAGTAAGTTAACATGCATCAGTATAAAATAAAATAAAAATTATCGCAATGCATGATACGCTATAATGCACATATTTCTAAGTAAAGGTAGAACTTGCCACATAGCGGATAGTAATCCATTACTACTTACTAACCAGATGATGAACAACATCTAGTTCTTAAGAATAGACAAGTTTCTAGTTCTCCTAACACTGTCACATGCTTTAACATATCACGGATTGCTCATAAACACAAGTGAACATCAATTGCATGGGCACTAGATAATGTGAAAAAAGAGAGCATTCCCAATCCAGCTGTCTAGGATTATAGATCACAATTCGCAAATAGCAAATCGTCCAATCAGGTCCTTCTGTCCATGGGGCGCCGTAGATTCGTTGATGGTTTACAATTAGAGGCTAACAAAAACATCAGCACTACTCTTTGCGTCTAGCCACAAACAACTTGGTCATATCTTCAGTGACAACGTTGCTCCTGTGAAAAAGAAAAACACAAAAAATAACAAATATTATTCGGAGACAACAGATATATGATGCTGAAGAAGTTCTGTCAGCATAATTGGGAGAGCACGCCTATTTATCAAATATAGTATGCTCAATCATTTGATTCACTTTAAGGAAAGCACTAACTAGTACTATGGGTCATGTACCAATCATCTTTCTTAAGTAAGTGAAAGTAAGGCTAACCTTCCACTAAGCTGTGGTGGAACTAACGTGTTCCCAGCAGCGATCCTGGCACCACGAGATTGTCCCGATTGAACCCTTGGAAATTTACTGCGTGGGTCTTGAAATGCAGATCCATTTGATTCTCGTTTCCTTGATGTGCTGTCCATCATAGAAGTAGATCCTCTAGAGGGCAGAGAAGGGGAAGAAAACAGATCTGCAACATCTGGAAGGTCTAGTGACGGTGTGGGCAGGGAGATATTACTTGAACTAGTGGAAGAAATATTCCTGGAGAGAAAAGGCAGAAATGCGAGAAGTTAATAACTCTTTGATATTGCATTAAAACCTAGAAAGTGACAGGGTGGCTAGTCCTTCACAGCAATTAAAAAATATATGCTAGCTATGAATCCATATAACACTTCCAGTCAGACAAGTTCAACCAATGAGAAGCCTATATCAGACATCAAGATAATAGAGACCAGCGAATATAAGAAATTTCATCGGAGATATGATAAGGAGATGAAACCTTTGTAAGATACATATGTGCGAACAGAATGGATTCACACACTGGAAACTCCACAGTCATATGCTATGAATAGCGTAAAACTTTTCCAGCTTCACCACATGGAATGGCCACTAAGTTGCTTACAGACTTTTTGGTGAATAAAAATACCAAGTGCATATAAGTGCCATGATACACAACATGCCTACATCAAACCTGCAAGGCTAAATTCAGAAAACTGTGCATGCACGGAAATGTACTTGCGTAGAACTCATTAGGCCATTACTGGATTAGTGGGATGAGTAAAGGTATGAAAAACCATCAGAACAGGAACCGAATACCTCACAGAAACTCTTTTGTGTTATAGGTCAAAAGTGAAGCAACAAAATTGCAATAATGGTATGCTAAAGTAGAAGAAACAAAAGGGATTATCAATTTGAGTTACGTGGTAAGTAGTGATAGACTGCACAGTGAAGTATTCACAGTCAGTAACAAATAAACTGTTTCAAATGTGATGCACATTCCCCCACAATATAGCTATTAATGGTCAACATTTGCAGTCCCATGAGCTTGCCCACAGTCATTAGCAAGAATTATAAACATAGTGAAGGCGACATGCATAAGTATTACATATTTATATCAGTAATTGTCCCAATTCTATGCTGTTCCTTCATATGCAGGCATAAATTATATGATCAGCTTTGAAACAAGAATGCACATTAAGAATTTGAGCTACCAATCAAATAGAAGAAGGCACATGAGATTCTAAATACCAAACCTTAAGACTGACTTGATATCTATTGCACCCTCCTAAAATTTCGAAAAATAAGCAATCCTCGCGTGTTTCTATGTATCAATTTTCAAGAAAATCCTAATATGCATGTGAGACTCGTCTGCATCTCAAAGCTACATATACATCCACGTATCTCAAAGTTACTCAGTGGTAAGTGGTCAGCTAATCAAACCATAAGCCTAGTTAGTACAAACACAAATGCTCGAGGAAACGCCCGAATCCACGTCTCCCGCAGCAATCCCTTATCCTCCCCCAATTCCTACAAGCGAAACCCTAGGGAGACACCATGGGCTTACTGGCTGTGGGGCGGAGGCTGAGGAGCGGCGCCGACCGACGTCGAGGGAGAGGGAGGCCTCGGCCGAGGTCCGAAGGATGAGGGGACGGGAGCGGGAGAAGCCGCCGCGGCGGCCGGCGGCTCGCCGCCGGCGTCTTCCTCGTCGGACGAGGCGTCGTAGGCGACCAGCGACATCGGGCGAGCCGGGGAAATGGTCGCGGTGCTCTAGGCTGGTTCCTCTTTTGGTCTAGTCTATTATCTGGGCCTCTTGCTAATTAGGCCTGTTAAAGAAAGCCTACGAGCGTATTGCTTGGGCCGAATCAGCGAGATAGCACGGTGGGGCCCATTAAGCAGCCGCAAGTGTATTCTGCCGCTCCTTTACTATTTCTCATTAACCTTTGATAAAGTAAGGGTATGTTTGGATAATGGGAAATGGGGAGTGGAATTGAGATGGGGAAATGAATAAAGGGTTAGGATTAAATGAAAGAAGGAGAATGAATGGTTATGGTTTAAAGATGTCTTTTGGTGGATGGGAAATCATTTCCCAAACCCGTTAGCCAAACACTGCCTAAAGTTCATCAAAACATAGGAGCTTGTCAGCCTAGATTTTATAATTGTTATCTTTATAAAATAAATAAAATTATACAATGGGAATACATTTTAAGTTTATACATGGATGGTTTCAATATATCTTGATCTGTTCAAAAGTTTTAAAAACTTGAATTTGAGATATGCCGACATATGTTCCATGACCAGAGTGATTAACATACTGCTACTAGGGCTGTCAAAAAAGCTCGAGGCTCGCGAGCAGCTTGAGCTTGGCTCGTCCTAGGCTCGATTCGAGCTCGGCTCGAGCTTCAAACGAGCCGAACCCGAGCCTGAGCAAAAGCTCGCGAGCTTTACCGAGCCGAGCTCGAGCTTTTGCCGAGCCTGGCCGAGCTTGACTATTTATAGTTCATATTGCATGTTCACCTTATTAATATAATAAACTAATAGGTAAATATATATATTAGTATCTATTTACACAATAAATTAGCATGTGTTAGCATAATATATTTATTTTAATTATTTTCTACTCTTTTATTAGTGTGATTAACTAAAAAATAATTATACTTATCAAAAGATTATCATTAAAATATATATTATACTACTTATGACCGAGCTCGGTAGCCGAGCTCGAGCTCGAACGAGCTCGAACCGAGCTTGCCTAAAAGCTCGAAGGTAGAATAGGCTCGGCTCGAGCTTGTGTCGAGCTCGAGCTTGGGCAGACGAGCTCGCTCGAGCTCGGCTCGTTGACAGCCCTAACTGCTACTCCTACAAAACACCAGATGTAAGGGCATCCATGCATGATGACGGCACGCGCGTGTCCCTAGTGAGATGTGGCACGTGTTGCACAGCCATGCGGAGTTAAAGACAGTGCTTAGCATTAACTGTTTTTATAAAATACGTAATAAATAAATATTATAGTTAAAAGTTTTTTTAAAAAAAGTAATTGAAAGTTTTATACTATTTCTGTATAGTTATTACTCCAAGTTTACTAAACTACAAAGCAGCTCTCACGTTTTTAGTGGCGTCAGTGCGTCATCACGCTAGTTTTAACTATTTATACTAGCTGTTTCTTGTTTGATGTTGGTATCGGTACGACGGATTCACGGTTCTTGCCTTCTTGGTATGCACGGTACCGATGGTGCTATCCTTGGATGTGAGGCAAACGCCAGGTCTTAAACGCGTCACTATCAATCGGCAAACGAAGTTGCTTGCGCCGTGTTTAGTACTAAAGTTATTACTCCCTCCGGGCTGATAACACTTGTCGTTTTATATAAGGGTGAAGTCAAACTTTAGAATATTTGATTATTAATCATTTTTAAAATATTTATCTTTCAAATATGGTGACTACATGTATAGATTAGTCTTAAAAAGTACTTTAATAAGATCATATATTTGCTAACAATTTCATACATATTATAATGAAAAATAGTGGTCAAAAGTTGTTTTTTTTAGACCGTGCCCTTGTCCAAAATGACAAGTATTATCAGCCCGGAGGGAGTATTTAAACTTTCAACTTTTCCATCACATCAAAACTTTTTTATACACAAACTTTTAACTTTTCCGTGACATCGTTCCAATTTCTTTCCTACACACACAAACTTTCAACTTTTCCGTCACATCGTTTCAATTTCAACCAAACTTCTAATTTTGATGTGAACTAAACACAGCCTTGGTGTATACATCATAAACATTTTTTTGACATAATTTGTCAAAAATATATTTACATTTAGTTTGTTACCAAATTTTAGTAAATACATAAAAAATCCTACCAAAATTTTAACAATATTATCAATTTACTAAAAATTTAGCATTACCAAAATTTAATAAAATTTAATTTGACTGTAATCTGAACAGCCCCTTGAACGGAAGTAAGGCCGGGTCCGATGCGATCTCTGCTGTGCCGCGTCTGACGCAAACAAAAAAACAGATCAAATGTGCGTGGGGCGGGCCCAATCCATGTTGGGAATCCCCATTGGGTCCGTTCCCCAAACCGCGGAGTTCCGGCCTGATTCTGCTTGGCCGCGCGCCCTATATATTTGGATCGCATAGGGTTCGTCTTCCTCGATCCAGGCCGCCTCCACACCACACCTCTGCGAGCACGACACGAGCTTTTCTCTTCGTAATCGTCGTCGTCGTCCTCCTCCTCCTCCCCTCCGCCGGGGGCCGCCGAGCGGCGATCCGTTGCTGGTAAATCCTTCGCCGCTCCGGTTCTTCCAATCTGCCCGCGATCTTCTTTTCACGCCCTTTTCTGTTGCGTGTAACTAATCGTGAGTCCGAATTCCCCGTTCTGGCTACGAATGCTCACACCAATCTAGATAGTTGTGGATTTTTTTTTTCGCCGGGTCGGCGGCGAAGGAAGATAGTTGCGGATTTCGTTGATGTCATGTGGAATACTGGAATACTAGCCTAATTCGCTCATCACTACATTCTATTGCTGTTACCAAAAAAACATTTACTTTCACAGCTTCACAAAGCGAATAGTAGTATTGAATGTGCCTATATGGTGTAGTTCACCTTTACTGTGTGCAAGTTGCTTATGAGGGATAAGATGTTAGGACTGTCAATTCTGCTACACTGATAATTTTTAAACTTGTTTTTTTTTGTTCAATTGTTGAGAAAACAATCAGGACAATCGTGTTTCAACTGCTGAGTTTCTTAGATTTTTAATCTTATTCAATCCTGTCGTTGTATATAGGCTCTGTAATCTGTATGCACCGCCATTGATCTGAATACATACTGCTTTCTATGACCTTATCATCTTCCTTTGAATAGCTTTGGATTTTCCATCTTCCTGTATGATGCTATTTTATCACTTATTGCCATATATGTTGTTAGAATTGCTAAGTAAATCATGTAAAGTTGGAGCTGATCCTTTTCAAGTATATATGTTTTTTTTCTATTTGCACCCTTCCGTATCTATAATGTAGAAAAATCATGCAACTCCTGGCAGTTTTGTTGCACTATTTTTAATACCTTTTATCTGATTAACCTTAGCTTCTTCGCATTAGACATACTACACTCAAACACTAGTCATTCCTTATTTGCCTATCCCTATCAATTATCATGTTTAAATTTTCACATCTATTTCCTTTAGAATAGGTATTCTATGGCTAGATAAACCTATCACGACGTACTCCATCTAGGCACTAAATATATCACGACTTACTCCCAACATAATATTAATAATGACCGGATGGAGTATTATCTTTTTACCCTTTAAACTTCTGATCTTGGTTGTATACTATATTTTCCCTTTCAGAAAGTTTTGTTAACATTTTGTACCTACTTGGATATTCTATATTGTAGGTGGAGACAGAAGTTGGAGTACAACCAAGATGGCTGACAGCCATGAAACTGACAAGAACATTGAGATCTGGAAGGTCAAGAAGTTGATTAAAGGACTTGATGCTGCACGTGGAAATGGGACGAGCATGATATCACTGATCATGCCACCTCGTGATCAGGTCTCTCGAGTCACCAAGATGTTGGGTGATGAATACGGAACTGCCTCAAACATCAAGAGCAGAGTCAACAGGCAATCTGTTTTGGCTGCTATCACATCTGCTCAACAAAGGTTGAAGCTGTACAACCGAGTTCCCCCCAATGGATTAGTGCTTTACACTGGAACCATTGTCACAGACGAGGGCAAAGAAAAGAAAGTCACCGTTGACTTTGAGCCGTTCAGGCCAATCAATGCTTCATTGTACCTTTGTGACAACAAGTTTCACACCGAAGCGTTGAATGAGCTGTTGGAATCTGATGACAAGTTTGGCTTCATCATCATGGATGGCAACGGGACGCTGTTCGGAACACTCAGTGGCAACTCAAGAGAAGTTCTTCATAAGTTTTCTGTTGATCTCCCCAAGAAACATGGACGAGGAGGGCAGTCAGCACTTCGCTTTGCCCGCCTACGCATGGAGAAACGCCACAACTATGTGCGCAAGACAGCTGAGCTTGCTACCCAATTCTTCATCAACCCTGCCACCAGCCAGCCAAATGTTTCTGGGCTCATTATAGCTGGTTCTGCTGACTTTAAGACTGAATTGAGTCAATCTGACATGTTTGATCAGCGTCTACAAGCCAAGATACTCAAGGTGGTTGACGTTTCTTATGGTGGGGAGAATGGCTTTAACCAGGCTATTGAGATATCTGCTGAAGAGCTTTCAAATGTCAAGTTCATTCAAGAAAAGAAGTTGATTGGGAAGTATTTTGAAGAGATTAGCCAAGACACTGGGAAGTATGTTTTTAGTGTGGATGATACGATGTCAGCACTTGAAATGGGTGCAGTTGAGACACTGATTGTGTGGGAAAATCTTGATATCAACCGATATGTTTTGAAAAATTCTGTCACTGGAGAAACTACGGTAAAGCACCTCAACAAGGCACAGGAGACAGATCAGAGCAACTTCCGAGATAAGGCGACTTCTGCAGAACTGGAGGTAATAGAAAAGACCTTGTTGCTCGAGTGGTTTGCAGAAAATTACCGGCAATTTGGTTGCAGCCTAGAGTTTGTCACGAACAAGTCGCAGGAAGGTTCTCAGTTTGTCAGGGGCTTTGGTGGGATAGGGGGGATTCTCCGCTATCAGGTTGAGATCAATGCTTACGAAGACTTGTCTGATGAGGAGTACGATGAAGACTACGAATAGCAATCAATTGAAACTTCAGTGATTCCGGTCCGGGAGGAGCCTGTGCTGGCCCCGAACGCATCGGGACAAGAGGAGGCCAAGACGTCCACAAGATCATCGGGGAACACTTAAGGTCCATGACATATTGCAATCAACCTGTAAACATCATATATTTCCATGTACCCTGTGACGTTGGATCTAATCTTCTATCTTTCCTGTCTTTATAGGGGTGAAGAGAAGACCTGAGACATAGTGATTGTCGCCATGTCATGAAGCATGATACCACTGCAGAAGTCAAGTTCTGTCCGTTTCATGGGGAGAATAAATGATGCATTATGATTTCCTCCATCGGAAGACCATCATATTTATTAGTAGTTAAATTCTAAGTTATCAATAAGGAGTGGCTTCTATGTCAGCCTAAACATGTGCTCTAAGTCTGTCATGCATTGCTGCTGCTGCAGCTACTCGTGTTCGTATATTTTAGTAGTTAAATTCTAAGTTGTCAATAAGGAGTGGCTTCTATGTCAGCATGAGCATGTGAAGTCGAGTCTGTGTGTTTTGTTGTTGCTGCTGCAGCAGCTACTCGTGGTTCTAAACTAAAGTGAGTCGTTAGTACTATGTTTGGATGTGTTAAGGCCTATCATGTTTAAACCATGCATATCCATGTTCATCTTCTACTTCATTGTTTTTACTGTTTCGCAAGTCGCAACCATGTCCATTTAATTTTTTACATGTTTAAGCAATACAGCCATGCTGACTGTATAGTAATACTCGCCGGCGAACTAGACTATCAGTATACCTTGGAACATCTCGTTCGTTCACGGTTCATCCCTTCAGGGACAAGCACGTACAGATCACCTGGACTCTCTCTCTGAAGTTGTCCGGGAAATAGTTTGGTGGTTGGCACTCGCGACAAATCCTGGAATGAATGCGTCCGAGCCCACGATCAGACGAGCTGATACACGGGTCTCCCCTGACAGCGATTTGTTTCCGTGTTGATCTCCTTTCCGTTGCCAATGTTACAGGCTTAGTACAGGTTACAACTTACAACAGCCAATGCGAATGCGAGATTGCGATCTCTGTACGCGGAAGGACTGAGAATTCGTCTGCAATTCCGCATGTCACAACCTGCTGATGTTTTACGACCATAGTGCTGAATGCTGATGTACGGAGTAGTCTTGTTGATATCTGCCTAATCCATTCGGATGAGGAGAGCAGGGATTTTGAAGCAGGATTCTCGCTAATCCAAAGAGATTTGGAATAAGAAAATTACGATCCAAGTCCAACTGAATTTGATTTAACATTATACACAGCTATAGTGCATATGAACATACTCCCTCCGACAATGTAAGCCATTATCTAGATTCATTAACATTAATATGAATATATCAATATAGATGTGGGAAGTGCTATAATAATTTAGGGCATGCCCAATGTATCTTGCTCAAGTGGGCATTAGCGTGGGCCCATGTAACAGAGGTAGCAGCTACATAGGAAGTTCACAATGTATATTTTGTCTGCTAGGGGTAGTAAGGTGGGGCCACTGAAAAAACTATACATTTTCTATATAACATAATTGCTTACCCCATGAAGCTGCTGCACATCTATTATTTCTTTATTTTCTTGCTACCGGTAGTAGTACTAAAACCGGGTAGCAGTTGTTACCCCTTACCATAATGTTTATTACCTGGTAATAGAGGTGCATTTATGTCTTATTACCTGCTTTTGAATGTGGTTGCTCTTATATTGCGAAACGGAGGAAGTGCTTTTTTTTTTAATTGATTTAAGTTGAGGAACAAGTATCCAGCGAGATGGGAGCAGGAGAACCTTCGTCGTCTCTCGCCCACTTCGTCGCTCGCTCGCTCATTAATGGCGGCCACTGCATCGTTGGCGCCGTCCATCTCCATTAATGCCTCCATCCACCTCGCCCATCCCTACACTCTACTACTCCTCCACTTAACAAGATGAGCTGAGCGCCAGCTTCTCGGCACGGGCCGTTGCATCCTCTCCATTCCATCCACCACCCACCCACCCATCCAACCTCCGCCCCCGGTATCCTTGAGCTGGAGGAGGTGGGTGACGGTTGTAAGGAATGATTTCCTTCTCTACTTATCCTTTTTGTTGCCCTTTTTGATGTCTTTGTGTGGTTGTAGGTGGTGGTGGTGGATCACCTGTTCTTGGGATTCTGCTGCTGCGAGTGCGTGCATTGTGGTGGGGGGTGTTTGGTTCTTGGTTGGTGAGCGGTGTTTGAAGCGGTTTCGCGCGTGGTCGTTGGGTGATGCGAGAGCTGGGAAGCTGTGAAAGCCTCGCGCTTAAGGTGCTCGATCAATTGCCGCTGAGAGCGCACGCCTCTGATTTCGCTGCTGAATTACGGCTGTTGGCGAGAGGAGACAGATGGTCGGGAGCGTGCACGTGAATGGATCGGTGAACGGCGGCAATGGCACCGAGGAGAGGCTCGACGAGCTGCGCCGCCTGCTCGGCAAGTCCGACGGCGACTTGCTGAAGATCGTCGGCATTGGCGCCGGCGCGTGGGGCAGCGTCTTCGCCGCCCTGCTGCAGGACGCCTACGGCCGTTTCCGGGAGAAGGTTCAGATACGGATATGGCGCCGGGCGGGGCGGTCGGTGGACCGGACCACCGCGGAGCATCTGTTCGAGGTGATCAACTCGAGGGAGGACGTGCTGAGGCGGCTCATCCGCCGCTGCGCCTACCTCAAGTACGTCGAGGCGCGCCTCGGCGACAGGACATTGTACGCCGATGAGATACTGAGGGACGGCTTCTGCCTGAACATGATCGACACGCCACTCTGCCCTCTCAAGGTGGTCACCAACCTGCAGGAAGCTGTCTGGGATGCTGACATTGTGGTGAACGGCCTTCCATCCACCGAGACGAGGGAGGTGTTCGAGGAGATCAGCAAGTACTGGAAGGAGCGGATCAGCGTTCCGGTGATAATCTCGCTCGCAAAGGGGATAGAAGCATCCTTGGACCCAATTCCTCGTATCATTACGCCCACGCAGATGATTAGTTCTGCAAGTAAGCAGCTCTCTCTTATCTCTTTGCTTATGCCTACATGCTCACCTATTAAGATACTCTTTATGTCATAGTGTCATCAAGGAATAGAAATGGAGTTGGTTAGTGGAAGGTTGCAATAAATATATTTAATGAAAGAAACACATAGTACTGTACTATGGATAAATAGGTTACTAAATGATTCCCAAAGGGCATACATTGAGTGAAGGGCTTATTAATGATTTAAACAGTGTGCTCTTCGATGTTTGAATTTCTGCTGCTGATGCTATTAACTAGAGCACATGACATTCCGAAGTACCAGTTCAGTATTTTTATCAGGTAACTGTCAATGTCCAGCTTTACAGAACAAAAATGTATTCAGTACTTATAGTTGCCATGACATGTACTCCCTCCGTACTCGTAAAGGAAGTCGTTTAGGACAATGTTTAAGTCAAACCTTGGGAATATAAATCATGAATAACTCTCAAGTTATTGAGTTTGAAAATGTAAAAATTATATGAATAGATTTGTCTTGAAAAATACTTTCATAAAAGTATACATATATCATTTTTTAATAAATATTTTTATAGAAATAAGAAGTCAAAGTTGTGTTTTGGACACCGTGTCGCTGTCCTAAACGACTTCCTTTACGAGTACGGAGGGAGTATAATTCTGTAGCATTCATTGACATTTTGGGTGTGCACTAACCCTTGGTTTTGCTTAATCACATCACATGGCCTGCTCTGTTTGAAGACTGTTTACATGAAAACACAAATACACTGTTCTTGTCAATTCATTATAGACAGGGACATGCTACTTATTTTCTGACTCATGCTAAAGATGGTCTTATCTTGACATGCATTTATGTGATATTAACTTTCGTTGACCCAACCTATTCCTTCCCTTGTTTTATTCAAATTACAACTAATTCAGCATTTTAAAATAAATTGCAGCTGGAGTTCCAACTGAGAATATACTATATCTTGGAGGCCCAAACATTGCCTCAGAGATTTATAACAAAGAATATGCAAATGCTCGAATCTGTGGGTCCAACAAGTGGAGGAAACCTCTCGCTAAGTTTCTGAGACAACCACATTTCATTGTCTGGGATAACAGTGATCTTGTTACACATGAGGTGATGGGTGGTTTGAAGAATGTCTACGCCATCGGTGCTGGTAAGAATATTTTAAATACGTTCTGTTTGTTTTCCAAAATATTAACTATCTTTATAACAGTAAAAATAATTAACTAATCCTACTAACAAACGAATGGAGTTGCTGCTTTCTCCACTGATCCTTCCATTCAATCATGGGTTTGCCATATGTTCAGGTTTTACTTAATTTGTTTAATTCACACCATGATCACTTGCCTCCATTTGTCTGGGTAATTGAGTTTATTTACTTATTCTTCCAATCTGAAACAAACCATTCATCTAGTCTGAGAAGCTCATGACTATCTGAAAACTTAGCTTCTTCCATTCTAGTTTGAACTGTGGTCTATATTGATTTGAACTGTACTCTTTCAAACTCCGGTTCGTTGCTTTTGGCTAGCCTGGATGAAAAATGTACTGTTTCATATTTGCCACAAACTGCTATGGGTATGTGAAAGATAGTTAATGCAAATTTGGTTGACCACATATTTACAAGTTCATATTCTTTTGCATTATACCAACTCGACGTTCACAACAGTTCTGTTTGAAGACTGTTTACAAGTTATAGTTTTTTCTCTCTCTGTTCAAGGTATATGTCATGTTTTGAGATTAATAATAACCCACTTTCTGTTCCAGGAATGGTTGCAGCTTTAACTAATGAGAGTGCAACAAGCAAGTCGGTGTATTTTGCTCATTGCACGTCAGAGATGATATTCATTACTCATTTGCTCACAGAACAACCTGAGAAACTTGCTGGCCCTCTGCTGGCTGATACTTATGTTACTCTCCTGAAAGGTCGCAATGCGTGGTATGGGCAAATGCTAGCGAAGGGAGAACTGAGCCCTGACATGGGCGACAGCATCAAGGGGAAGGGGATGATTCAGGTTATCTCATAAAACTACTCATTATTTTCCCCGAAAGTTATATGAATTTTGAGCGTATTTTTGAAGAATGCTGGAAGTCAAAACTTGCAAAAGATATCACATCATCCTGGATATAACCTGTTCACTTTTCACTCTACAGGGTATCTCTGCTGTTGGTGCATTTTTTGAGCTTCTCAGTCAACCCAGCTTAAGTGTGCAACACCCAGAGGAAAATAAGCAAGTTGCACCTGCTGAACTGTGCCCGATCTTGAAGAGGCTCTATAGAATACTAATAAAAAGGTCTGTGCTCTGTTTTACCAATATGGCTATGGTGCTCTGGGCTCCTTCAACTATGTACAGTATGCACGAGGAATGCAGTTCACAACTTCACATCCTTCACTGCTTCTAGCTGTTTCCACTTGCCAGTGTGAATAGATTGTAGAGAGTATCATAAACTGCAGTAAGAAAACAATCACCTTTCTTCATGAACTCAACATAGCTCCAGCATGCAGAAGTCTATGGGCATAAAGAGCTCAGAAGTACCGTGTGCTTGTTGACATTTCATTTCATTAGTAGGTGCTCTTTAGATTTTTCCTTGAAATACTGGTTAAAATTCTAAGCAGTTTCTTTTGAGGCGCTTGTGTGTATTGCGCATAACAAACTTGTTTTCTTACATGTCAAGGTCAATCATCAACTTTTTCTATAACTTAGTATAACACATCTGTTTCAACCAGCAATGTATCTTTAACTCACTGTTTTGATCTACAGGGAGCTCTCGACAAGAGATATTCTGCAAGCCCTGAGAGATGAAACCATGAATGATCCTCGTGAAAGGATTGAGATGGCGCAAAGCCATGCATTCTACCGCCCATCTCTCCTAGGAAAACCATGACCTGTTCGTCCTGTATATGATTAGAACATAAACAAGGTTGGATGAGACCTCTAGTTTGACATGCTTAGCATCATTCGTTATTAAGCCTGAAGAAGGTGATTGTCGCTGGCCTATGTGTGAACTGTGAATCCCAATGGGGCTTATTTTTCTGGAATTGTTAGTACTTTGATTATCATGCCGTACAACAGTACAAGAGAGAGTGCACAGAGTCAATAAAGAATTTCCTACACACGCCATGTGTGAGTTTCATGGGGGCTTATTTTCCTGGAATTGTTCGTGCTTCTTTGATCATCATGATTCATGGCGTACAGAGTGCACAGTCAATAAACATTTCGGGGAATAAGCGAAATGGCATATTTGCAAACGAAAAATAATTTGTGAATAAAACTTTTATATACGTGTTCTTAGCGATCTATAAGCAAAGGCTGAAAAATAAACTTTGATGAAAAAAACCCCAAAATCAACTCTAAATTTAAGGTCAAAAGTTCAAATTTTGAGTTGCCCTTTCTCTTTGGGCTGCACACGCACAATCAAAAATTCTAACAAACTTCTCCAGTTGCACATGCTCCTACTTGAATTCTGGTGTAGATGCCATGATTTTGAATTGGAATAAGGGCCTGTTTAGATTCCACCCCAAAATTTTACACCCTGTCATATCGAACGTTTAAACACCTGCATAAAATATTAAATATAGGCTAAAAAATAACTAATTACATGGATTGCGACTACTTTGCGAGACGAATCTTTTAAACCTAGTTGCTCTATGATTTGACAATGTATTTGCTACAGAAAACACATGCTAGTGACGGATTAATTAGGCTTAATAAATTCGTCTCGCGGTTTACTGACGGATACTATAATTAGTTTTTTTATTAGTGCCCGAACACTCTATGCGACATCTATACAATACCCGATGTGACACGCCAAAACTTCATACTCTTGGATCTAAACACCCCCTAAGTTCACTTTAACTCCCTTAAATATAGCTCTTCTAATTCATATCGCTAAACCACAAATACCGAATATCTCGACCCCCAACTATTAAAACCATTGTAATTTGGCTCTCTTAGTAGTTTTGGAGGGTAGCGTCGTTGACGTTCCACTTTGACCTGTTGTATCTCGCTAAGTCATCTCGTGGGGCCCATGAGATGACTTAGCGGGATAGATCAGGTCAAAGCATCACATTAGCGCAACCATCCTCTAAAACCACTAAAGGAGTCAAAATTAAACTGATTTTAATATTTAGGGTCAAGATATTTGGTATCATGTTTCAGGGATACGAATTAAATTAGAGCTATACGTTAGGGAGTTAAAAATGGACTTAAAGTGGACTTGTTTCATTAATTGGACTGCCTCAACGGCTTCTGGTTCTGGGCTTCCGGGCGGCCCAAGAAAAGCACAAACGGAGAGTCGGAGTCCGAGTCGGAGTTGGATATTTCCTCCCGTCTCCTATAAGAGCCCATCTACACCGCCACCCACCCAACAAGGCCCAGGCGCAGCCGCGCAGGCAACCACCCCACCCTTCTTCTCGAAACCTCTTCGGTCCCAAACCCCACCAAGGCCACCACTCCTCGTCCCCTCCTCCACTTCCACTTCCACACTGCTCTCCCCCTCCCCTTCCTCCCGCTCCGGCGAAGGCGAGCGCGCGGATCGGCGTGATGGCGGCGGCGGCGCCCTCTCCCCCACCCGTCGCGGCGCTGGAGCAGATGAGCAGGACCAAAATGTTCGGCGGCCACAACCTCCGCTTCCGCCACCACAGCGCCACGCTCGGCTGCCCCATGACCTTCTCCGTCTTCCTCCCGCCGTCGCCGGCATCCGACCTCCCCGTAAGTGCTCCTCCGCCTCGTCTCCTCCTCCGCCTCGAGATCTGATGAGGGGTTTCGCATGCTACCGCGTGGTTGTGCGCAGGTGCTGTACTGGCTCTCCGGCCTCACGTGCAACGACGAGAACTTCGTCACCAAGGCCGGCGCGCAGCGCGCCGCCGCCGCCCACGGCATCGCCCTCGTCGCCCCCGACACCTCCCCACGTATGTGAGACCTGATCCCCCTCCCGTCGCGTACAATTTCTAGGGTTTATGCGTTCCGGAGTGGAATTCAGGAGACTTGTTTGGGGGGAATTTTGATTGTTTGGCGAGAATTTGCTGGATTACGCTTTGAGCTACTGGAGGACCCCTTGAGAGAGATTTTGTATCAGATTGCTGTTAGTTTGTATCAATGCTGCTGCTATGTTTCTTCGAATTCGCTCATTGTCTATTAGGAAAGCCGAAAGGGACCAGAGTATATTGATGCATTCATTGTGCATTGTATTTTACACAGTAGGGATTCAGAGCCTCCATGGAGGCGGCGCATAAACCATTGAGTACCATTGATAAGGATTTTAGGGTCACAAGCTAACTGCTGTTTGTTTTATCAGATGGCTGCTGCTAGGTTTCATTTAGTTTGCTCACTGTCAATTAATACAGCGAAAGGGATCAGAGTATACTGATGCACTCATGTGCATTGTATTTTACACAGCAGGATCGCTACTGTAGGGAGCAGGGAGTCTCCATGGCGGCATTGCATAACCATTCTTGTGTTCTTTATTTATTGTTTAGGGTTAGACTAATGTTTTCTGAACACTGATTCCTATGTAGATGGCTTCACAGCATGTGATCATACATGATGCAAAACAATCAGTAGTAAATCACGTGGTTGGGTCTGTCACTGCAGCAGTGTTTTGACATGTGATGATCATGATATTATGCCACTCACGCAATATGATTTCCCTGTTGCCCTTGACCATATGCTAAGCATTACAATTCTTTAGTACTTTGCTGCAGTTTATTGTCTTTTATTTTTGTGATCTATTTTGTTTGTATGTGTGAGCGTGTGCCTATCTGTGTATCCATGACTTATTGTATCGTGCTGATTTATGTTTGTACTGGAGATGTTTTCTACTACATGGAAGCATTTATATTGTCTTCTACGATGATTGTTGTACTTTAGTAGTTCTGCTGTACATAATAAATATTTGACAATGTTATTCCTAAAGGAGGTTAAATAACCTTTATGTAGCCATGTACCAGCAGTCCAACACTCAGTGCTTCTGGTTTATGGAGCTTGGATACATCGCATCCATTGTAGATATTTAGTTGGATTTAATGTGTCAGTTGATGTTATCAACTTTAATGGCAAGGGAAAAAAAGATCCCCCTCTTGGCAAGGACATCTATCTATGAATTATTTCTTTCTTGCTTTGGATGTGGTTCTATATATATAAATGTCGGTTCAGTCTACCTGGTTTGGAGTTAGGAATAGCTTTGGTAACATTTTGCTTTGATTGTAAAGTTCTGACACCTCCTTTGTACTCACAAATAATTTGTGTATGCTCTAATGTGATTTGAGCAGCTATTATCCTTTTCATATTTGCCAATTCAGTTCAGTTCCTTCTCTTATTGCTCTGTTCCTTTCTTCATGCAGGTGGGCTTAATATAGAGGGAGAGGCAGACAGTTGGGATTTTGGTGTTGGTAAGGATTTAATCTACAATATTCAATTGTTGTGCTCTTCGCATTCTATACCATATAACAACATGTTGCATGGCCTTTCTTTGCCATAAACAATGGACTATCTCTTTGTTGGCTTTGTTTAGATGATTCATGTCCTAGAAAACATTCATCTGTTGTCCTAAATCTGTAAGATATGCCTAGCAAACCGTCCATTTTTTTGTTATTCATTGCTGGTTATGTGCAGTAGTATGCTCTGCTGAAAATCTATACACATAATGGTCATGTACAGCAGTATGCTCTGCTGAAAATCTATAAACATAAATAATGCATTATTCTAGTAAACAATTAATATGATACGGAATATTGTTGGACATATTCCCCTAAAAAATAAATGTCTTGTATTTCTTTTTATCATTTCTGATAGCCTTTACATTATTACGAATGGAAATGTAACGTGTAAAAATGACCAGCAAATTTGGTATTTATGATTGGTTTTCTGAAAAAATGGTTTTCTTTGACTGGAATAAACGTTCTCTTGGCTTTCCAAAAATTAATGTTCTCCTTTATCGCAAAACATTTCCTGATTTTGTATTTCACACATATTTCGGTTACTAAATTGGTTGTCTGAAAGTGATGTTCCCTTTTACTGATAAAACATTATTTTGTTTTGTATTCGAATACTAAACTTTGGTATTTCTGATTGGTCCAAACATAGGGGTTCTTTTTATAAAATATCTCTTGGTTTCATGCATAACCCTTTCATTTGGAATCTGAAACATATGTTTGATACATATAATTGGTATTATGAAATTTGATGCTCCTTTTTTTATCTAAACAAAACAATTCAGTCTAGTGTGTGACACTAATTAAGTGTTCTGATTTGCTCTCCAAAACTGGTGTTCCTTTTTATTGAAAAAACGTTTCTTGGTTTCTTGGTTGACAATTCTGTTTGAATTCTAAACTTTGATTTGATGCTCTCTAATTGGTTGTTTGAAAAATAGTGTTAAACTTCCTTTAAAAAAACGATATTGTATTTGATACTTTTATTTGGATTCTACTCGTTCAGTTTGCTACTTCTAATTTGTTCTTCTAAAATTGGTGATTCCTTTTTATTTATGCTTCTTGCTTGATGCTTCTATTTGTAACCTGAAGCTTTAATTTGGTATTTATCATTTGTTTTGCAAAAATTGGGGTTCATTTCATAAAAGAATCTACTTGTTTCATGGTTGACATTTCTATTTTTGTTTGGTATACTTATAATTTTTTTTGAAACAGGATGTTCCCTTTTATTAAAACAAAGAAACCCAATTTTATGTGTGACACTTTAATTTGCTATTATGATTTTTATCAAAAAATAGTGATTCGTGTTAAAGAACATTTTCTTGGCTTCTTGATTGACATTTCTATCTAGAGCTTCAAGTTGGCATTTGTGATCGGTTTCGCAATAAATTGGATTCATCTTGTAAAAACATCTCTTGGCAACGCTTAATGATTTTTTTTCTTGGTTACATGGTGGTGGTGTTCCATTTTCTTGTTTTCCTGCTTAACGCTTATAGTTGTATTCTAAAGCTTTACTTTAGTAATTCTTATTTTTTAAACGACATATCTTGTTTTCATGCTCGATGATGTTATTTGGATTCTAAAACTTTATATTGGTACTTATATTTTTTTCCCTAAAATTTGGTATTCCCATTTGTTGAATTGATTATATTCAAAAGTTTTGATTTCTTATTCTATTTTTTAAAAAATAAATTTGGTTTGTTTTATAAACGGAACATATAGTTTTCATGTTGATACTTTCATTTTGTTTGTAGAGCTCTATGTTGGTACTTACAATTGGTTTTCTGAAAGTAGTTGTTTCCTTTAATTGAAAGAAAGAAAACCAATTTTGTTCGAGACACTTTGATTTGGTTGTCTAATTTGTTTTTCACCTAAAAAACATTCTCGTTTCTTGATTGTCACTTACATTTGGATTCTAAATCTTTACTTAGGCACTTACTTTTGGATTTCATCCTTTGTCACAAAAGCATTTATTGATTTAGCATTTGACACCTTTATTTGGATTCTAAAACTTGCTTGGTACCAATCTATTTTCCACAAGATGGTGTTTCCTTTTATCACAAGTTTATTTTATTTGGCTTTGGGTAATTTGGTGGCTGTTTACCGAATAAATATCTCTGTTGAGTTCTTCGTGCTTTACATTTACTATAAATTTAACTATTATGTTTGGTACTTACGGATTCCAAAATTTGGTGTTTCCTTTTATCAAAAAAAAAAAAATCTTATATGGTATTTCTGATTCGTTTCTAAGTTTGGTGTTCTATTTTAACTAAGAGAAATTCTCTTAGATTCTTGATTGACACTTCTATGTGGATTCTAAATCTTTACCTTGGCACTTACTTTTGGTTTTCTGTTAGTTGGTGTTCCCTTGCGTCGTAAAAACATTCTTTTGTTGTTGTGCTTGACAATTCTATTTCAAATCTTGAAGTTGGTACTTACTATTTGTTTTCTAAAAGGTGGTGTATTTTTATTTTGGTTTTATGAAATGTGGTGTTTGTTTCTATCTAGAAAGTATACTCCTTTTTAATGCTTTGGCGCATCTATTCATGGATTCTAAAGTTTTCACTTTACTTCTAATTCTCATTGGTTACTTGCTAGTAGTTTTTTTTTGTGAAAAAATGTTTCTAGTTCGTTCTTCAAAATCGTTTTTCCTTTTCATCGCCTTGCGAAAATATGGTTTTTTGCTTTCTATTAAAAATACTCTATTTTTAATGCTTTGGCTCTCTATTTGTAGATTCAGAAGTTATTTTGCTTTGTAAAAAATGTTTGTAGGTAGTTCTTCAAAGTCATGTTTCCTTCTATGGAGAAAAACAATGTAAAGCTTTTCAATCTTGTACTTTTCCTGAATTTGGTGTTTGCTTTTCTTTTAAGAACATAATTAGTTCCAAATCTTTAACTTGGTACACACTCTTTGTTTTCTAAGAGGTGGCCTATCATTTTATAAGAAAAGCATTGCCTTGGTTTCATGCTTTTTTTTGGATTGTAATGCTTTTGAGCTTGACCTTATAATTCCTTGTTATTTGGAATTGGGTGTTGCCTTTTATCAAAAAATATTTTGATATTTTGATATTTTTATCACAATACTTATTATTGGAGTTATGGAGTTTGGTGTTTAATTTAATTTCTTGTCAATGCCATCTTGATTCTTCTACATCTTCAAATTTTCCTTATTTTGGTTTTTGTAAAATACGATGTTTGTTTTCTAGTAAAACAATATTCTCGTTTTAAATGCTTTGGCGCTTTGTGGATTGTTAAGCTTTTTCGTTGCACTTCTAATTCTAATAGGATTTTCATAAGTTCTTCTGTTTTGCAAAGAAGAATGTTCTAGTTCTTTTTTCAAAATCGTGTTACCTTGTATTGAGAAAAAAGATTCTCTAAAGCTTTTCAATTTGGTACTTATAATTAGTTCTCCTTAGTTTATGTTTGCTTTTGCAAGAAGAAATTATTTTGGTTTCCCTGTTTGACATTTGTATTTGGGTTCTTAATCTTGAACTTAGTCTTACTATTGGTTTTCCGAAAGATTGTGTCTTGTTTTATCCAAAAGTAAAAACATTACCTTGGTTTCTTGCTTCTATTTGGGATCTAAAGCTTTTAGCTTGAACATACAATTCGTTTTTTCTAGAATTTGGTGTACCTTCTATTGAAAAAAAAAGAAAAACATTTTCTTGGTTTCATGCTTGGTACTTCTGGAATTCTAAATCTTTTGACACGATACTCATTGTTGAATTTATGCGATTTGATGTTCCTTTCTATGATCGTTTTGTTTTCATTCTTGTCATTGTCATTTTGGTTTTTCTAAATTTTCAATTTGGTACTTACTTTTGTTTTGTCAAATGTTGTGTTTGTTTCTGTCGCAAAAGTATTCTCGTTTTTAATGCTTTGACACTTCTATTTGTTGTTTCTCAAGTTCGAGCTCTAATTGGTTTTCCAAAAGTTGTTTCGTTTTGCAAATCAGAATTTTTTCTAGTTTTCTTAAAATCGTGTTTCCTTCTATGGAGAAAAATGTTCTATAAATCTTTTCAATTTGGCACCTATTATCGCTTTTCCTGAATATGTTGTTTGCTTTTACAAAAATACATTATTTTGGTTTCCTTGGCATTTGTATTTGGATTCTTAAGCTACTTGCTGTTGGTTTCTTAAAGGTAGTCTATCAATTTATTGCAAGGAAACATTGCTTTGGTTTCTTGCTCTATTCTGATTCTATAGCTTTTAGTTTAGACTTATAATTTGTTCTTTTTTGGAATTTGATGTTCCTTTATTGATGAAGAACAATATCTTGGTTTCGTGCTTGGTGCTTCTTCCAGGATATATATCTTTTGACATCATACTTATTATTGGGTTTATGGAGTTTGGTGTATTGTTTAATGAACTTTTTTGGTTCCTTCCTTGTCAGTACCATCGTGATTGTTCTAGATCTTTAATTTGTTCCTTTTTGGTTTTTAAATGTGGTACTTGGTTCTATCAAAAAGTATTCTCGTTTTCGGTGCTTTGACGATTCTATTCTTGGATTCTAAAGCTTTCATGTGTACTTCTAATTCTATTTGTTTTTTTTGAAAGCTGTTTTATTTAGCAAATAAGATAATTGTAGTTCATTTCTCAAAATCGTGTTTTCCTTTTATGTTGGAAACATTCTAAATGGTTTTCCTAAATTTGATGTTTGCTTTTGTAAAAAAAAATTTTGTTGCCAAGTTGCATTTGTATTTGGATTCTAAATCTTAAACTTGGTACTTGCTATTGATTTTTCTTAAAGGTGGTTTATCCCTTTTTTTTAAAAAAACATTGCCTTGGGTTCATGCTTCTATTTGGATTCCAAAAGCTTCTAGCTTGAACTTATAATTTGTTTTTTTTTTTTGGATTTTGAGGTCCCTTGTACGGAAATCTTCTACCACGGTACTTTTGGAATTTGGAGTTTTGGGCTCAATTGTATGATATTTTTCGGCTTAACCTTTTGTTTTGTGAAA